GAGCCCCCAGCACCAGCCCCTGCAGGCACCTGGTGCCACCTTAGCATTCAAGCAGTGGCTGGAAAGCTGCTGGCACAAGCTGGCGTTGTCCCTGGGCACCGTTCCTCGTGCTGCAGCAGACAGTACCTCCCTCTATTCTGCAATGTGCTGCTGCTTAAAGCAACGTGCTGGCATGCGCCTCTGGACGCTAAAGGAGAGCTGGGCCTGCTGTGACTTCACAGCCCCACGTAGCATGAGCTTGGCTCTTTTTAACCCCCAGGACTGTGAAGGGCTAGAGTCTCCTTGGCCATTTGCAGCTGGCCAACAGTGGCCTCCAATAAGCCATGCCGATGGAGGAGGGCAGGGGAGCAGTAAATAATAATGTTATGATCAATCACCAATTGCCATGGGGAAGCCTCGGCATGCGATTCATCCAAAATACCACTGCCCGAGTGGTGTAAAAATTTTATTAATGGCTGCATCAGTTTGCAGCATTTTCATAACCACTCACACCAGTAGTGCTCATGCTTTGTATTCTCAGCAAGAGAAGCCACGGGGTGTCTTCCTTCCGACCCCTCGACCCCTGTGCTAACGGGGACTGCCGGCAGCTCCAGCAGCCCCTCCGTGCAGGCAGGAGCCCTCAGCGGAGGGAAGCGATGCACAGCCCCAGCAGCCGGGTCCTGACACCGCAGCAGGCTCAGGCTCAGGCAATCCCCTCATGTCAGAGCAGGGCAGGGCACTGGCCATGCCAGGATGAACTGTGTAACCTGCTGTTAAGAGGCTTTTCCATTTCCTCTTGCTCTGCTTTGACCATTCACAGTCTGCCTGCTGCAGGACAAAAGCCTCTTCAGCACTAATCCTGCCCAGCCTTTCCCAGTGATGAGTGGTTCAGGCATAATGCCATTGCATTTATCACCTTCCTGTACTTCAATTTGGCCATGGATAATTTTCCGTGATGGAGCAACCCACAACCCATCAAATGACTTGTCAGCCACCCCCCCCAAGTAAAGTAACATTCTCAATCAAAAGTATTTTACCTTTTTTGCCCCTCAAAGGGCACCAGTCCAGGTGAGAAGGGGAGCTGAGTACCAGAGCCCCCTGACTTTGCTGGGCATTCATCCAGTGCTCTCAGTGGGATCCCAGTAACGCACCTGCCACTGCTGGCATTTTAAAAAAGCAAAGGCCAAAGAGATGGAAGGAAAGAGCCTTCCCTTCCCCCGTCTCCTCCCGTAAGTCATTTTCTCTGGCCTATTTTACAGGAACAGAAAATCTATTAGAGGAATAGCTTAATCCGGTTTGACTGTAATAATTAGGGTGCTTTAAAAAAACCCTGACTAATCGTATAAAATGTGATTGTAGACAGTTCAGTGCACGACCCTTACAGTTATCACTTGAGGTATTATTACAAACCAGAAACAGCTGGCAAGCACGGAGGCGGATAAAGGGGAAAAAAAAAATTCACATGCAAAGGGATTGGGAGTGGGACTGTTCCTTTTTTGATCTCATAACAGAGGCACTGGCAGCCTCTTGAGCAGTCTCTCTAGCACGGATCCAAAGCACAAAGTCACCTCCAAGACCCCGAACCTCTGTTTTTGCCAACAGTGTGCCCTGCCAGCCACCGGGTCCTGCCATTGGCACCTCCTTTTCTCAGTCTGTTTTTGCAGACAGTCCAAGAGGATTTGAGTCAGTGGTGGAGAGATTCCCCTCAGGGCGTGCTGCAGTCAGCAGATGTTTGTAGCAACAATGCGCAGTTTTTCGAAAACAAGACAGTCTGTATTAGTCAAGCAGGATATAGTGTTTTAGGGTCATTGGGTTACGACAGAAAAGCAATGCTTGCTCCCATGTCTTGGCGGGTAGCAATCTCTTTTTCTCTTGCTCCTTCTCAGGCTCCAACAGCCACAATTTATTCCTTCCCTTCTCTAGCCTAGGCTGTGGGCAGCTGAGTTCCCATCATGGCACCACCACACCTTTAGTAAAGCTATTTTTTTCCACATGTTCTGCCAGTCATTCCACAGGATTGCTGCCGGTTCAGGATGCCCCAGTCCCTGCAAGATGAGCTCATTCATGTGCCGACACTTCTTGTTCATCCCTTCCTACCACTCCCGATAGGACAAAACAAAGTCCAGGCACCCATCTCCCGCACAACTGTCTTTTCTAAGAAATCAATTCTTCCAGTCTCAGTGGTCCACAAGCATATTTTGGTGGAGAATTCAAAATCTGAGCCCACTGCAGCAATATCTGTATAACAGAGAATATCGCCAAAGGGACTCATGCCTTAGCAGGGTCAGTCAGAGATGAAGAAGTTGGAGCTGACTTGACTTGGCCATCACAGAAATGTTGGGAGAAGCACAGGGAAGGCTCTTGTTCATCGGTACCATCCAGACCAGAGACTGGGCCCTCGCCCAGACACTAGCTCACAAAAACACTATTCTGTAGAGCCAGTCAGAAGCTTTAGACTTCACAGAAAGATGACAGCCAGGATGAGACTGTACTATCACCAATATGCTCCTTTAATCAGCATTGAAAACATAAGATCAACCTTGAAGGAGGCTTTTAAAGACTGAAGATGTACTACCACTTCAGTTTATTCTCTCTCTCTCTGCTACTGTGATTAAAATATGTGGTTGATCTTGGAAGCTCTACTGCAGCTTGTACAACAACCATAATAACAACATTTGCAGTAATGGAACTCGCAGCTGGAGTTGGGTTGTTTGGTTTTTTTTGCTCTCCCATGAATCTTCCTCGGGTCTTTTTTTTCCATTCTGCTCCATACAGATTTTGATCTTTCCTTTATTAAATAGGAATGGTTATCCCCACTGACTCACTTATCTAATAATAGCTAGAACCTTTTAATTCAAATGATTTGATTCCTGGGTTTTTTAGATTAAAGTAAACATATGGTTAGAGTATTACTGGGAAAGTGGCAATAGAAATACCATGGTCAAATTATCCTGTGACTCAATTCTGCAAAGCGCACTGAATGCTTTTTAATACATTTCACAAGTACTCGGTGATGACCTCTAACACCAGAGTGGTTTCTCTCCTACAGTAGCTCAATTTCACAACTCTGAATACACTTTTTTTTTTTGGAAGAAAAGCCATCCAAAGGTTTTTATAAAATGTTCTTTAGCCTTCAGGAATGAGCCAATTTAATGCCAGAGTATCATTCCATTTCAAAGAGTTGAAGGATTTGAGGAAATACAATCTGCTTTCTGAACAATGTGAGATGAATATAGTTGTGGTTTTGCTAGAAACCAAGCTGCAGAGTTTGGATACAGAGCTCAACTTTTTCCAAGTTCAGCCGTGGCTCCTGGTTTGTCAGCTGTATTTCCCTCCTTTTTGCAACAGCCCTTCTTACGGAGCCTGCTCCAGCATACATGAACACTTGCATCGGGAGTAGATGGCAAAGGAGACATTGCTGCCAGCGAAACTTTCTGTCATCTGTTGGCCTTAAAATGGGAAGGGAGGAGAGGTCCCTCTGTAAAGTCAAGAATCACCAATAGAAGACCAGCTTGGTTTTAATTACTGTTTTTCTATTTGCAACTGAAAAATGGGCAGGAACATAGGGAATGAAGGCCAGGCCATTAAAGGGGAAAACACCAAGCTCTGAAAATGCCTCCTGAAAGCCAGAGTCACCTCGGGTCCCATCCAAAGGTGCAGTCTCTGCTGCAGCCACACTCAGCAGCACCAGGCACGCACACATCGCCACCCACCACCTCCCAGCCCACCGCACCAGTTGCCAAAAAAAACATGCCAGAGCCACAGACACGCTCAGTCACATCTAGCTTTATTTTAATCCCGTCAGAAAAGTTCAAGAGTTACACCAAAAAATACTTCAGTCTCTGCTACCTACTGACAAAAAATACACCACAAAATTATAAACTGTTCAGTGGTTTGCTGGAGTTTTGATTGTTGGTGGAGGGGGTGGTTTGTACATTTTGAGTGAGAAATGAATTTACAGGTGGAAGGGGAAAGAAGGATAGGAAATCAGACAATGGCATTTGGCACTACATTTTTAGCTACACTATACAGTTATTTATCATGATGTCTGTTAGGACCGAGGAGTTCTGCCCTCATTTACACCCTCTAGTGTCTATGTATGCGAAATGGAGGACAAAACTGCCCAATGCGGGGGAAGAAGGGGCCAGTTCCTAATTTCCATCGCAGCCTAACCACAAATCTGAAAAAGCAGCCTTCGTCAAATGTGACCCTCGCCCTCCCTGTGCACTCTGCTCTGCTGCTCAGTCTCACCCTGCCTGCGCTGCCGAGGAGCAGAGGTGCTCTGCAGCAGCGGCTTGCAGCTCTGAAAAATGAGAAAATGAGAATTCTTTTTTTTTTTTTTTTTTAAATCCCACAAGTCTGCACTAATTGCACATGCCATTTGTGGGGAGAGGATGTTTTACGCTGGCCAGGACTGGATTAAGCTTGGGGTCTGGTCTTTGTTTGCAAGCAGAGATTTGATGGGACCCTTGTACTCTGAGAGCATGCTATGGCCATCCCTCTTTAATTACCTAGAATGACATTAAATACTGAAGTTTCTGAAGCTGAAGGAGGGAAGCAGGAGCATCCCATTTCATGGGTGAGGGAAAATTAGGGGCTGAAAAGTCAGAGGCTCAATACTGTACTATAGTATCACCACTCTTGAGAGGCTCCTCAATTCATAATGGCATTTCTTTGTCTCTTGGTGACTCTCAGGAGAGAGGTCCCGAAGGATGAAGCCTCATGTAAATTGCCAAAGGTCATGCAGGAAATCTGTGCCAGAAGCAGAAACTGAAGCCCTGATCTCCTGACTCCTAGTCCTGTGCTCAGAAGTATATTCATGATTTCACTATAGCAGCCTCTGTCTGCTTCCATCCTGCTCCATATCCAAGTAGCAACCAGGATTTCAGTCTCAGAGCCCAGCCAAGATCACCAGCACAGTAGTGGCTCATTACGAATGCCTGGATCTTTCTGGATTTACTTAGGCCACTGCACAGGGGTATGTGTACATGTATGCTTGCACGTGTGTATGTCTGAGGGAGGAGGGGATGCTTGTATTTCTCTATCAGCAAATGAACGTTGATGCTAGATTCAATTTGACAGCAAAATATCCCCCCTTTGGCAAGCTAAACATCATCACAATGTCTTTGTACCAGGTTCTTTCTACCCCCTCTCTCAAAAGGATTTCAGCTCTTCCTTCACTGCATGTTAAGCCTCTGTCACAGCTTTCCAGCAATGATAAAACTGCAGGATTCTCTTTGCTGCTTTTATCGTCTCTGGCTGTTTATCTAATTTGCTTTTTTTGTTTTTTAATTTCTTTTTCTAACAAATAGTTAAGCAATGATTTAAAAATATTTTTACATTGTAAGGTACAGTCAACATCAAACATGCCTTTGTACAAGAGCTCGACTTGGTTACAAATCAACGAGAACAATGCACGAAAAGAAATATCCATTAAGATGACTCCTGCACTTGGGTTTTTTTTATTCCTGTAGTGCTGTTAGCACAGCACCCTCAGCTAGAGCAATGCAGTACAGACATGGTGTTGTCCCCCCACCCTCCCACTTTGCCTATCACCGCTTGTTAACTTTAATGACCTTCTGTCTTGGCAGCCTTGGCTTCATGGTTTACCGATCCTGAAGACAGCCAGGGCGATAGGGCCCGGGAGCTGGTCTGCTTGGCCATGCTGTAGTGGCTGATGACGGTGTAGAACCTGCCCCGGGAGTTGGAATCCTGTGCAGAATAGTATGCATCCAGCGAGGCTGGGATGCACCGCTTGTGCTGGAAAGGGGAAGAAAGCAAGAGAAATAAAGACTGGTCCCGTCAGCCTCAGGTTCTCACTTTAAAAAGCTCAGAGTTAGCTGTTTGCATAGATGACATTTGACTCAGACTTGCTGCAGCAATAACGTCTGCTGCGCAGCCCCCGACCACGGGAATGTAGAAAGTTTAGAGTCGGGCAGGCGCCTTCAAAACCTGTTGCTATTGGCAACCCTGATTGCAGGCTGATTTCATCCATGGATGGGAAATGGGAACTGTAAAATGAAAGTCTGACTGGTTTGGTATGTTACTGGCATGCACAGAGACCAAGGCCCCTTGCTGGAGTCCTACCAGGGCTGGCTGAGCAGCTCTTATCACGTGCTGGACTGAAAGCTCTGCAGAGCGAAGTCCAGGATTAATCCTCAGACAAGCAGAAGACAGGCAGAGGCAGAGTAAGCTGCTTACGTGCTGCTCTGTTACAGTGTGTTATCTCTGACCTGAAGGACAACCACCTTGGCTGGAGATGGTAGGAAGCGTAGCCCAACTGACCAGCCCTTGTCAGAGCTTCTTTGTGCAGACACTGCCCGTGTATCTCTGCTGCGCTACTGCGGACACTTGTGTGCTAAGAACTGCACAGATAAAACAATTCACTTTGCAACAGCTGTAAAAGAGCAATCAAATGGTAACAAATGTCGGACTGGTGGGTATTCACCGGAGTCGAAGTAGCACCAAGGACACAAAGGGCCCCAGGTACAACTATTATTAAATTACGAGATACCCCGACTCCCAGTTCAATGTGACTAGCTGAAATTTGAGTCCAAAACCTTTAATCTTTTCAGAAGTTCAGGTTTGTATCTGATTCTGAAATTCATGACTCCATGCTAACTTCATTTTTATATAACCTAAGAGAATAATTCACAATGACTAATACACCAACATCTTTACTTTATTTTCCAGCCCAAAGACTATCCCCAGTGTGGTCAAGACTCCTGTGACTTTATGAGTTTATTCACAGTAAGGAGTCAGTGAACTATTTTGCAAACTTTTTTCTTTTTTTTAAATCTCATCAGACCAGGCAAATAGTTCTCTGTGAATATTCAATATAAAATCACTGGGCAGCAGGGTTTTAGCAACTGAGTTACACGGTTTTGTTCTTCATAGAGGCTCAAAAAAACACGTAAAAATGAACTACATGGGCAAATTCTGATTTCTTTCACAAAGGACACGTGCCAGCTCTCTGGGAGTTTGCTTTGCATTAAAATGTATGCCAGTAAGCCTCAGTCACTTCAACGTGTGGGAAGCAAACACGGGATTCCAGCTGCAATAAATCCATTCACAAATATGAGGGATCGTTCCTGAACATCTGTCTGTAGTGTTCACCAAATGCTAATCCCAACAATTACAGTGTAACAGTAGCTGACAGAGGCAGATGCAAGTCCACATTTCCCATAACACTTTTCTCATTTTAACACATTCTTGCCAAATGCTCTGTTTGGCCTGGTCAAAAAAGCAGACTAGACTGTAACCATGTAGTCAATTAGAGTCTATCATTATCTCAGGCAATTCATCTGTCTGAAGTTTCTTACCTTATAAACAAATCCATCTGGGCAACTGTGGTCATAAGTAAAGGCTTTGTATACCACAAGAAACACTATGCAGGCAAGGAATGCAAGAGCCAGACTTATGAGAATAGTGACCTACAAAAGAGGGATAATGTTACTCTACATATGTTAAAATGGCATATGAGCAACCTCATAATTAAATGACTTATAGTAACAGCCATCCTAACAGACTGCAGTCTTCACTCCACTGCGCAGTACTTAACTAAGCATGGTAATTGAATGAATGCTAGATCCAATAGCCCTGAATTCTCACATCACTTCCATCCCTCCACAGACCTTCAGGAGTGCACATTCCTGTGTTTAACCCCTTGCAAATGTATGGATTTTGCTGAGGCATTTGGTGTTCTCAGTGTCTTTGTGTTCCCATGCTCTCAGCTGTTCAACCGGCAGCATCGTCTGCTGGCCCAGCAGGACCTGCCAGCAGCCAGAGTCCACATTCGGGGTCTAATCTGTGCAGATAAGCTGCCTTATCACCATGGCGAGATCCTGCTTTTCTGAGAGCAGAGGTAGGCAAGCAGGTAGGAAGAATGAAGCCTCTGTAGCACATATCCCTTTGTGCCTTCTAGGTGAAGCAACAAGGATAAGTTGTGCCTCAGGTACCTTGCAGAAGGGAGGGCGGGAGAAAAGGAATCCTTCTCTGTTTATCAAAGCTGTAAAAGGACAACACCCCAACCACCAACAAAGCCCAGCATGTAAATCCCACAGCATGTCCAAGAGGAGATGCTGGTGTTGGAGGCACCAGACACAATACCCTCTTTGGGGCTCAAATATTCCCCCTCTTCTCATTCCCAAGCAGGTTACTTTGCTGCACCATTCTGTTTCTTTGTTGTAGCCCACTTCTCTCCAGCCTTTCCAAGTCCCTCTTAAATAGTTCCTTCAACAAGTTTCCTGGCCCCATTCAGATGTCCCAATCCTTGATTTTAGCTGAGCTGTGTCCTCCCTAAGGACTGAGCAAGGGTCCCAAATGCACCCCCGTTCTCCCCTTCCCCAAAGCTTTCTTGGTCCCAGCTTGATAATTCTGCAAATGCAGCATAACTGGCTCTGGACTTCTACTGCCTAAATTACAGCAACCCATCCTGTCAAGACACTGATCTGGATTGGCATGAAAAAAATATCGTAATCCCTGGGGCTCCAGTGTTACCATGCAAACTAGAGTTCCTAATCAAATGAATGCACTTACAGAGATGATAGGGGTGGGAACAGCGGCAGGGGAAACTTTAAAAGCTGTTGCATGGCCAGCAGCACGGGGAGGGAGCTGTGGCAGCTCCCCAGCTTGCTATGGCTTGCTGGGACTGAGCACCAGCAGCACGCATTTTGCAGGATGTTTGCCTGCATGGGGAAGGGGCTGCAATGTTCCTGTGCTTGGTGAGCCTGTGAGAGCTTACGCTGAGGAAGGTCCTACAGCAAAAGTTTGAGGTCAGGCATGGGTTTACAGAACGGAGAGCAAACAATGAGGTTTTTTGCCACCTACAACCTCAATTTGTTTGCTTCAGAATCCCTCTTTCTCATGGTGGCATCAGAAGCCAAGCCCAGAGCTGCAAATTTTCCCTGGTCACATCAAAAGCCATTCACTGAGAGAACCGCAATGGCAGGACATGGCAGGGACTGTGTGCCTGCTAATGCCCTTGCCTGCAGGCGTGTCACCACCATACCATGCATGTGCTCATCCTCCAAAACATGCCCCCCTCCCAGTATCAGGGCTGCACCTACCTGTACTAAAGGCTATCATTATCATTTACTGCCCTAGCAAGGAAGAGACACAAATTTTTCAGCTCCATCTAGTCACTCAGGGTTCATCCACCCTTTTGTTGTTACAGTTAGGTCACAATCCTCTTTATTTTCTTGTACAGGTGTTCAAGGAAATTGAATAGTAGGCACAGGCAGAAGTTGTTCCTTAACTAATGTATAGGAGACCGGTGATGGTAGAAAATGGGGAAAAACAGAGATAATTCCTACAGTATAGTGGACAGGCTTGTCAGGAACAGCAGCTAACAAAGAGGAAGCTGGCCAGATCTCAGAATTCATTGATATAATATTATTACTATAACAATAATATTATGTGATATTAGTAATAGTATATCAATAAAGCGATACTAATTGCCTAATATTGCCTGAATTTTGCCCTAATTCTCTCCTTCAGTCATCACAGCAGCTGTAATTGAGACCTGTATGATATGCAATCCCTGCACAGACTCAAAGGGGCCACTGTGATTGCTTTCAGTGCAGGAAAATACCTCTCACTCTCACCAATCCTGCAGAAAGATGCACTGCCCGGTGAGATGTATTCCTACATTGCACACAGCACATTGGGACTATTACTGAGAGAAGCTAAAGCAGCCCTGGCAATGCCACCTGCGACGCTGGAAGATCCAGAGCTACAATTTTTGTGGCTGTTCCAAGATAAAAAGAAAGAGTGAAGGTAAATCTGCATGCATGGTATTAAATATGACCCAACACATCCAGTTCAAAACTCAGGAAAGAAAGAGGTGTGGAGATGCTGTCTAGCAGGAGAGATTCATAAGTTCATTGTTAAGTCAGAATATTTTAGAGTAAAGTGTAAAAAGGTAAGAAGATTGGGGCTAACAGGCTTTTCGAATGATGAACAGTTCACTGAAGCCCCGACCCACCTTTTAGAATAACTGCTCATATTAACCTCCTCCTTGGGGCCTAATCTGCTGCAAAATGGGTCAATTAAGCAAAAGGCAGCTGCAGAGGGAGAAGCACTTACTGCTGGATCTCATAAGAGAACATGTGTAAGAGAGTGCTGGTGTGCTGAAAAGGTAGCTGGTAGAAAAGGAGTATAGTTGTATGAATTCCACTAAGTCTGACCAAGAAAATATGGGCTCCACCTCCTCTCCATCAAAGCATGCTTGCCTGCAAGTTTGAATAGAAATATTTCAGACCAGCTTTAAGGTAGCCCATGGGTTCCCAATCTGGGGAAGCCATATCCCTTTTCATAGTGCTAAAGAGGAAGACGTCTCGGATTCAAGGGAGATGGAAATGGAATTTGCCAGGATTTCTGCCCTAAAAAGAAGCTATATTACACCTAAAAAAATGAAAAAAAAGTCACTTTGAAAAAGTATAGTCAAAAGGAGAGACTTCCTCGATTAAGTATGCCAACACTGTCTACTTTTTCCAATAGGGGACCTGGGAAAAAAGACTCCTCTCCAAAAAGTCCCACCACAACCCAACTCTGGCAGGCCAATGTGGAAGAGCACTTCCCCCTGTAGAATACATGTTCATCAACTCTTCCCCATTTAAAAGGGGAGCATGTTAGGCCTGGTACTTCCTACTTAGTTTGAAGGCACTAAGGCAAGACGTACATCTTGCTCTATCAAAGCCCATGCTTGGGGGGCAGCCCTGGTTAGAAATTCAGAAAATAAGAAATGCTGAGCTCTCCAGTTTGGTTGTTCTGCCCTAAATACAATGCACAATGAAAAAAGAAATATTGCTTGGCTTAAGCTGAAGGAACAAATTTGTGCTCAGAGCAAAGGAAGAGACAAAGGGCAATGAAATTACACCAAATGCCACCTGGGAATGCATAGAGTGTAACTCAGTGACAAAGTACCTCTTGTTCCTGAGAAATAAGAAGCTGTTCATCCTCTAGCTTTCTTTCGTAAATACAGCCTTCATCATCAGGGCTAGCAAGAGCTGCACACCAGCAGTACACCCTGTGCTATGATTCCTCCTGCCCTAATGTCTACCTGGCTCCTTTCTCCTCCTCTGCATCACTGTTTCCTCCATCCCAGAGGGATCCATCAGGGCTGACTGCACCCAGAGAAGAGGCTGTGAAAGGGGAATATCCCTGAACTGCGAGATGTCTCCCTCACCCAGAATGACTGTGTCTGCCTTCCCCAAGGGTTGTCACCAAGTTATTTTGAAGGCTTCTTGCTCTGAGCCAGTTAAAATGGTCAAGTTCTTCCTTTAAGCTTCAGAGAAAGAAAGAACCAAGCTGTCCGGAGCAAGAATGAACGTCCCTTCTTTTGTTAAATCCCACATACATGCGCAGCCTATGAAATGACCATTAGTAATGCGATTTGACGGCTTCCTTTCCTCTCGTCTGCCCACTGAGCCCCTAAAAATAATAAATTCCCCTCTGCTCTGTTGCTCTGCTAAAGTCCTGACACCCAATGCATCACCTCCCAGGAGCAGGTCCCTCTGCTGAGTCCTTCCCCTCCCTCCAGGGTGCAGTTGAGCCCATTCTCACCTCCCTCCTGCCGTTTCATGCACTTGCAAAATTACAGCATGGCACAATATTACACATGATGATACATAGTGTAAAATTGCTCTGGGATGAAATGTCATGTAAGATGCTAAAACGCAGAGAAAAGGAAAGAAAAATCCACCCCTGGATATTTTGCCACGCCAGAGCCAAGATCCACCTCTCTAGCTATTCCAGAGCATACGAAGCTTCATTAACATTCAAACACCAAAGAATCACAGAGCTGCAATACCTAATAAACCTCTACTTTTTTTTATGATTAACATGAACCTTGGCAGTCTCTAAGCAATATAAACACTCACAGAGGGGAAATAAAATTTAGTGAGCAGATAAAACCTAGAAGTGCTGCAGGCATGAATCTATCATGTGTGACTGCTCGAGTGGGTAAAAGCAGGGGGAGGATTTGCCCGCCCTTTACCCAAAGTCTTATATGATTCCCAAAGGTTCCCTTAAGAGGGGAGTGTCTGCTGGAATGAAGAAGAGAGAACATCATTACCACACCAAAAAACTCCCCATCCTCCACAAAACATAGAAAGAGGCCTTTAATATCCGTGAAAGATGATGTCAACCTCCCATCAACAACAGCACACTTGGCTTGGTTCCTCCCCACCTTTCCCATAGATGAAGTACACGTTGCATTTTTCACAACAGTACGGATAAAAAAAGAAGATATATCCTCATCAGGCAACAGGACATAAGTTGCGACTAGGTTTTGCTCCAGTGAGATGATAGCTAATTGCAATAGTGTTCCATCCACCAAATGGCTTTCGTGCTGTCCATCGAAGTATCCTTCCTATTCTCTTTGATTTCAACAGCTGCCCATGATTTTTTTTCATCAAAAATTCACTTTTTC